TGCATATGAATAAATAATAATAATAACAAAAATAATAATAATTATAGTAAATAAATGAGAATAATTAATAATAAAATTAAATGGTAATAAATCTTAGGTCTGGTTTCATATGCCTGGAATTAGGAGAGCTATCTTACTATGGGATCTAGAAAACAACAAGACTCCAACCATTAGTATGTGCACACAGACACACACACACACACACACACACACACATATATATATATATATATATATATATATATATATATATATACTTCACTCACTCATTCACTCCTTCATTCATTCGTTCATTCATTTACACACCACCTGTCTATTCATCCACTTATCTGTCAATGATAAATTAATCTCCGAGACACACGGACAGAAAAAAGTAGCCAGGCTTTCTCACTATCCATTGCGGCGCTATTACGCCGTGTTATTATTATTATTACTATTATTTTATTATTGTTTATTATTTTTTTATTGTTATTATTGTTTTTTATTATTATTATTTGTAGGGGAAAGGTCACTGATAGAGAATGTCAAAAGTCTACAGAAAGTCTTTGCTTTGTTGAACTTTAGCAGAAAAAAGTAAAGTAATAAGAGGAATAATAATAAATAATAATTAATTGTAATAATAATAATAATAATAAATAATAATAAATAGTAATAATAACAATAGATAATAATAATAGTAATCTACACGTCTAGTGTTATTAGTATTAAACTTGAAAATTGTATAACTGTAAGCTACCACACATTGATACACGCATACACGACTCACACACATACACAAACATATATATATATATACACTCCACATTCACCCACAAACACACAAACAAACACACACACCGCATGTAAGAAGGTCCCAAACATATTTGGATAAAAATTTTTGCTGAATTCTTTGATATATTAGTTTTTTTCTGCTACGCTAGGATATGGATGCGTAAATTTTAACCAACCATTCGTTCTTTCATCCGTCTGTCGGTCTATCCATTCATCCGTCCATCCGTCAATCACTCTAATTATGATCATAATTAATAAAAGTAATCATAATTAATAATAATAATAATTATTATTTTTGTTGTTATTATCTTTTTTAAAAGATTTATAGATCCGACTGTATTGTTTAACTCTCTGCTACTGGATAACAGCATTCAGCAGGTGATTGTTATTATTATTCTTATTTTTATTATTATTATTATATTTTTTCAATCAATCCACAAATTCACTCTTTCATTCATCCATTCATTCATTCATTCATTCATTCATTCATTCACATGTCCATCTATGAACGCTAACTCTAACGATTCATAAGTTCTCTTTCGCGCTCATTTACCGTTCACCCATTCAAACTTATAATTCATTCATTTATTCATTCATTCATATAATACGTATCAATCAATCAATCGATCCATCCATCCATCTATTTCCGGTTTTTCTCCTTCCTCCCATAACTAGGATGCCCAGGAATTTTCAAAACTTTTCATGTCCAAACTAGAGGGGATTCAAAATTTTGTTAACAAAAATAAAATCAATAACAACAACAATAATAACAATAATAACGACAACGACATCACTGATTACTGCAACAACAACATCAGTGACAAGATTGTTGACGATTGTGATAATGAGAATAATAAGAATAAAAAAAGAAAATTGCACGATGATGATGACGATGGTGGTGGGGGTGGTGGTGGTAGTAATGATCGTCGCCGTGGGGCCGGAAGTGATGATGGTGATGACGACGATGATGATGACGTCATTTGGTCTAGAAATATTTTTAAAGATTTCTATGGCAGCTATGAATATGTCACCAAGTTAGTATTTGTAGATTATTTGTTATTATTATTATTATTATTATTGCGGTTTCATTTATTATTGGTTATCATTGGTATTGTTTATTATTATTATTATTCCCCAAAGGTGCATGGTGTGCTCTAGCGAGAAAAAAAGTCCTTCGAAGTTCAGTGAGCTTGACCTTAATATTGGATCTTGTGGTCGGAGTCTGGCCACCTCTATCAAGGAGTTTTTGCAGGCGTGTGTGTGCGTGCGTGTGTACGTGTGCGTGCGTGTGTACGTGTGCGTGCGTGTGTGTGTTCGTTTGTTTGTGTTTTTGTATGTGATCGTCGTCATTTTCTCTTGCTTGCATCACGTGTTATTGATCATCACGCCACTCATCTTCAACAATGACGTCAATCAACGACCATGATGACGACGACGATGACGTCATCGACTGCAGGAAGAAATACTACAAGGTGAGAATCAGTTTTTCTGTTCGGCGTGCGAGAGGAAGGTAGATGCGACTCGGAGGATCCAACTCGTACAACTTCCACGGACGTTAAATTTGCAACTACTCCGATTTGTCTTCGATAAGTGCGTTTGTGCCTGCTTCTTTGTTTGTGCAGTTGTTTGTTTGTATGTGTGGTTGTTTGTTTGTGTGGTTGTTTGTGTGTGTGGTTGTTTGTATGTGTGGCTGTTTGTATGTGTGGTTGTTTGTTTGGATGTATGTATGTGTGGTTGTTTGTTTGGATGTATGTATGTGTGGTTGTTTGTATGTGTGTTTTTGTGGGTCTTGATGTTGCTATAACGGCGTCTTCTAAAAAAAAATCTAATAAAATTATTATTAACGAAGAGAGAAAATGGCGAAAAAGAAGCTGACGACTGTCGTCACATTCCCCGAAAGACTGGACATGTCCGTGCATTTGCCCGATCATGTCCTCAACAACAACAACAACAGTAGTAGTAGCAGCAGCAACAACAGCAGCAGTAGCAGCAACAGCAACCACAACACCAAAAACAACAAAAGATTTAAGAGTGAAAAGGGCCAAAGTGTTTCTTCGTCAACTACCAACAACAACAGCACTGGCCTTAACAACAACAACAACAACACTACTAATCCCAACGATAACAACAACAACATCTTTTATAACAACATTTTTTACGTTAACAACAGCAGCAACAATGAAGCTACCACCAGCGCCACCAGCGGCAGCCTAACAAGCAGCCTCAGCAGCAACAAATACAAGTACGAGTTGTTTGCGGTGTTAATCCACAAGGGTAGCGAGGCGAACAGCGGACACTACATAGCCATCATCAGAGATTCGAAGAATGACGTCATCTATCAGTTTAATGACGAAACTGTTACGAGATACCAGGTCGAGGGTCTTATCTCTCGAGAGGCGAGCGGGGCTGGCATTAATTTAGACGCTATGATTGGTCAGTTATTTTTAGATTTTTGGCTTATTTTTAAATCGTTGTTGTGGTGCTGGTTGTGATTATGATAATGACGATGGCAGCGACGATGATGCTGATAATGATATTTCTTCAAGATGCCACAAGCACGCAGAAGAGCAAAAAGATTTTCGGCAAGCCACTGGAGGCGGGCGAGATGCTGTCTTCGAATGCGTGCATGCTAGTCTACAGGAGCCTGCAATACAACGGTTGGCTGGTTGGTTGGTTGGATGTCTGGTTGGTTGGCTGTCTGGTTGGTTGGCTGTCTGGTTGGTTGGTTGGCTGTCTGGTTGGTTGGCTGTCTGGTTGGTTGGCTGTCTGGTTGGTTGGCTGTTTGACAGATTGGTCGGTTGAGTGGTTATACAGTCTCTTAAATTTCCTCTTGCCAGACATCGCAACGAACGAAGATGGCAGAGAGATAACTGTGGACGACCTTGACGACGAACTAAGGTCAGAGGTCATTGAGCATGAAAAAGTTGTCGAAGCAGCGTTCCAGGTGGAGGAGGCTAGGAAGGTAGACGATGATGGTGATGACGATAATAATAATATTAATAATAATAAAAATAATAATAATTACTAAATACCGAAAAATAAAAATACAAAAATTAGGAGAAGTTGTACTCGAAAAGCGAGAGAGTTAATCAGCTGTACTGCAGGCTGGCAAACTTGAGGGAGTACCCGCTCGAAGATTTGGTAGAACAACTCGAGTATGTCCCCACCAAGAACCTTATAGACTATCTAGAATGCCAATTCAACAGTAGAAGCAGCAGTAGTAGCTGCAGCAATAGTAGCAACTACGTTAGCGCCAGTAGTAGTAGTAGCAGTAACGTTAAGTATCGAATAGCTGCCGACAGTAAGGATGGTGAAGATGACGACGACGATGACGTCAGTAGTTCGGCTACCACTACGGCTACTGCTTCGGCTACTTCAGCCGCTAGTGAAGCTAATAATGATGGTGGTGGTGACGATGATGATGGCAACAACAATGGCGTCGGTGGTGATGATGACGACGATGAGAATAAAAATAGAGGCAGAAGCATGCTGTGTCCTCACGATAAGTTTGTTGTAGTTGTTGTTGCTGTTGTTGCTTCTATTATTATTATTATTATTATTATTATTATTATTATTATTATTGTTATTATTACTATTGTTATTATTATTATTACTATTGTTATTATTATTATTACTATCATTATTATTATTGTTGTTGTTGTTATGAATAAATATATTTTTATTCCTGGAAAGATTATCTCTCGGAGAAATACAAAATGTCAAGGCCTTGCCTAGTATAGCGGTACAGTATTGTATCTATGTTGTTCTGTGTATCGTTTCGTATCGTATCGTTTTGTATCGGATCGTATCGTATTTGTATCGTATCGTATTGTATCATAATTTATGGCCTATTGTATTGTATTATACTTATTTATATTGTATTATTTTATATTATATTATTTTATATTATATTATTAATATTTTAGGTTGGTGATATAGCCAGTCAGTTGAACTTGACAACTCGTATGAAATGGTTATTGCTTATTGTTTGTTGGTTACTGTAGCTCTTGTTTATTCTTTCATTCGTTCATTCATTCATTCATTCATCCTCTTCATTCATTCATCCTCTTCATTCATTCATCCTCTTCATTCATTCATCCTCTTTATTCATTCATCCTCTTCATTCATTCGTTCGTTCGTTCATTTTTTATATTTATATTTATTAGGAAGCCAAACGAAATAAGAAAAGAAATTCTTGTGGATAGGCCACCCGTAACTAAAATCAAAATATTTTTGTTCGATCGTCTAAAATATTTGAATATTCGTTTACTAAGTCAATATAATCTTAATTAAAATCAAGAATAATTATTGACGGTTTAAAAGTATTGCATATACATATGAATAAAATAAAATAGATAAGATACAAAATTAGATATACGTATATCCTTAAGGCCCGATTGGATGGTAAATCGTGGATTAGTTGGTAACATTAGTTAGTTCATTTATTCATCCTCTTCATTCATTCGTTCGTTCGTTCATCCTCTTCATTCATTCGTTCGTTCAGTGCGGACTATGTTTGCTGGGAGTGCGTCAGGGATCACTGCTCACTGTTGAAATTCAAATCCCGGCTAGAAGAGGATAATAAAAAAGTGACTGCCATTATGAAGGATAAAAGGACGAAGTATGAATGGATGGATGAATGAATGAAGGAAGGAGTCGATGAATGAATAGATGCATGATTGGATGAATGAATGTATGAACGAATGTTAGATGGTTAATTAAAACAAAGTGGCTACAGTAATACAGAATGGAAGGATTAAGTACGCGCGTGCGGATGAATGAGTGAATGAATGTATGGATAAAGGAGTGAGTGAATGAATGAATGAAATGTGAGACTGGATGGACGGATGAATGGATTATTGGATGAGAACAACATGAAATGTAATATCAGATTGAAGAACCAAACATATCTAGACAGATTGGTTGGTTGATTGAATAAATGAATGAATGAACAAACGAGCGATTAGATGAATGAAAGAACGAAAGAAAGAACAAACGAATGAATAAACAACAAAATAATATTTATAATAAATTATATTTTCAATATTCTTTTCTCCCCTAACACCGTTGTGTAGCCTCAGCGAGATGCTGATTGGCAGGAGTTCCTGGAAGCAGTGGAGAAAAATGGCACTTAGAAGATTGGAATTAAAGTTGGCCACCAATAATAAATATAATAATAATGTTAACAATGATAATAATGACAACAGTGTGTTTAATGATAAAAATGGTGGTTTCATTCAGTTCATTAATGAAGATCTTGTCTGTGTGCATGGTTGGTTGTTTGCCTGGCCGTGATGATGATGATGAAGGTGATGATGATAATGAAGGTGAGGTATGGTCGTCGTCGTCGTCATCATCATCATAATTGCTAGCGTCAATACTTATACTGTCATCACCATTATTGTCGTCACTATCATTACTCTCACGGCCGTCATATTATCATTTTTTTTCTTTCCTCAAAGGGCAGTTGAACCCGGACGAGTCGCTCCGTCGTTGCATACCTCGCTCCGTCTGGCTGATCATCTGCGAGTACTTTGATAATCCCCGAATGTTTCCCATCTACTATGAAAATTGTCCCATTTGTGAGGTCTGTCTGTCGGTCTGGTTGTTTGGTTGTCTTTTTATCTGTCTGGATGGTTTTTTGTGGTTGTCTGGATCACTGTCTAAAAGCTGTGTGATTGTATGTTTGTTTGTCTGTCTGTCTAACTGACTGACTGATTAAGAATGAATGGATGAATGAATGAATGAAACCAGGTAGCATCATCGGAGCAAGAGTTCCAGCTGAACATGTTAAGAGAGCAGGCAACGTTGCTGAAGCATCAGCTGCAGAATCTTTTCTTCAACAAGAAGAGACCGACCCTCGCTCAGCTGAGGAAATTTCAAATTAATCACCCGCAACAGCAGCTACAGCAGCAACCACAACAGCAGCAGTCTGCAAAATTGTATCTGCTGTCTTCTCATTTCTTCAATAATTGGAAGAAGTGTTGCAAGTTATTACTTGTTGTCATACTTTTTGGTGATGATGATGGTGATGATGACAAAAGATGATGATGATGATGACGATAAAAGATGATAATGATGATGACGACATAAGATGATGATGATGATGACAGAGATCCAGCCAGGTATAGTATTCCTGAGACGACGTACAACCAATTGCTGTTGTGTCCGCATGGCTTGCTGTCATTCGACCCAGAATTTGTTGAAAATACTGTGGCCGCTACACATGCTACAGTCGCAGCTTCTGCATCCACTACTTCTAATGATAATGATGATGGTGTTGAGTAAGTTGGCTGTGTGTCTGTCTATTTGTTTGTCTGTCTGTCTGTCTGTTTTTTTGTTTGTTTGTTTGCTTGTTCGTTTGTTGGTTTGCTGGCTTTCTTAGGCGTGTTCGTTCGTTCGTTTGTTCATTCAATCATTAAATTTGTTGATGAACTGATTCTAATATTCAATTTCTAAATAATTTCTTCGTTCGTTCATTACTCATTCATTCTTCTATGCATTCATTCATGCATTCATTCATTCATTCGCTCATCCATCCACCCATCCATCTTTCCACGGACTCACAGGAAGTACAAGTTGCTATGGGAATGGGAATGGGATCTCCTGGCCCAACACGTCGTCACTGATTACGTCATAACCGTTGAAAAAGAATGTAATCGTCATGATAACGATTGTGGTGGCGGTAGTGATGATAGTGATGGGAATAAGAAGGGTTGTGATAGTAGTAGTCGTATTAAGAAGGTAAAATCATCATCAACAACGACAGCAACAAACTCGTCTGCCTACGCTAAGCTAATCTCAAATCCAGGTTTTAATTGGTTGCATTTTTGTGTGTGTGTATGTTGTACGTGAGTGTGTATGTATGTGTATATATACCTATGTCTGTATTTTTATGTGTGTGTATGCGTGTGCGTGTGTGTGTGTGTGGAATCATTACAATGACGATGATGGTAGTGATGAATAATAACAACAATAACGATGATAACCATTCGATTCCTTCATCCTTCTTTCAAGAAAATAACTTTCTCCATTTTTCTATATTTCTCTCTTTCTTTCTTTCTATCCATATCTCTAGGAATTTGTGGCGAGTGTTTGAGAGAGAGAGAGAGGGAGAGGGAGGCGGAACTTTACAGGTACAAGAATGCTACCATATACGTGTATCTAGCAGCCGACAGTGGCGACAATCTTGACGCTGGTGGCGACCATAACGCTGACGATGATGATGATGATGCTAATGTAAATAATAACAATAATAATAAGAATAATAATAATAAGGATAATAATAATAAGGTTAATAATAATAATGACAACAACACTGACGATGGGCTTAGCAAAAATCATGATTATCAATCTAATCGTAATAACACTGCAACTAACTATAATAATAATAATAACAATAATAATAACAATAATAATAATAATAATCGTGTAGCGTCATTAACCACAACGTCGTCGTCGGCAGCTGGCTACAGGAATGTCGAAATTGTCATTATTGAGGACGACGGGTTTAATAATAATAATAATAATAATATCACTCATAATAATAATAATATCAATAATAATAATAGTAATAATAATAAGGGTGATGATGATTTGGACTGGAAGGATAGGGTTAATCAAATGTTCTTAATTATTATTGTTGTTATTATAATTTTTGATGTTGTCGTTGTTGTTCTTAATAGAATTAGTCTTATTGTTGTCGTTGTTGTTGTTATTATCATTTCAATCAAGCCAAAAAAACTGAAATACTTTTTCACACCATTACCACAGCCACAACCCCAGCAGCAGTCAGACGATTTCTCGTACGTACATCCGGTCGGTAAAAGTTTCTTATCTGATTTTTTCAAGAAAACGACCGCGATCGCCACTACAGCTGCCTCAGCTGCTATCACAGCTGCTACGACAGCTGCTACGACAGCTGCAGCTACGGTTGCCGGTAGCAGGAGAAGTAAGAGGAGGACGAAGCAGAATGGCGAGCAGGCGTTCATTGTTGACAGCAACAGGACACTGTCCGAACTTCAGAGAGAGGTAGGGGGGCTGATGATGATGATGATGATGACGATGATGATGATCATGATCATGATCATGATGATATTCATTTCAACATTGATTCACCCGTTCATTCATTCAACTATCTATTCATTTTTGCGTCCATCTTTCCTTTACTAACTCATTTATTCACCAATTCATTCATCCGAATCAATCATTCATTCATCCATCCATCCAGATCTACAAGAGGTTCCACGTCTTCATATCGAATCAGTTATTAACGTACAACGGCAGGGTACTGTCGGGAGAGTCCTTGACCCTCGAAGAACTCCGCATACCCCCCAACGCTCTAATCAAGCTCGAAGTTTGTTTCTCTTTCTCCTTCTCTCATTTTTTTTTCTCTCTTTCTATCTCTATCTCTCTCTTTTTTCTGTGTGTGTTTTTTTTTAAATTCTCTGCTAAGTATTTATAAGTTAGCTATCTGCAACTAACGCGCGCTGTGATTTTATTATTACGATTATTATTCTGATTATTATTTTTATGATTCTTATTATGATTATTATTGTGATTATTATTTTTATTTTATTATCCGATAAAGGTCTGTGAAAGTAAGGAAGAGAGCAAGACAGGTACGAAAGAATACGAATGTTTAAATATTTTTTTTAGTTTTATGACGGGAGAATTATTTTCAATATCTTTTCTCTCATTAGCGTAAATAATAAAATAACAATAATAATGATGATAATTATTATTATATATTTTTAGGTACAGCAATCGAAGAGGGTTTTAGAGGTACTGGTCTATCTGGATGATGACGATGACGATGAGGATAATGATGAAGATGACAATTTCTTTGTATATTTGTTTAGTGAATTATCATTTCTTCATCTGTTTTTCTATTCCAGCTATTAAAGAGTCATAAACATTGTTATTATGATTGTCATTATTATTATTATGTGTAATTTTGTACTGGAAATGTTTGATATATGGTAAATTAAGTGGACCGTATGTGTGTCGCTGAACACGCTATGGTTCAATTTTTTGGAGCATGCGTTGATAAAGTGAATTAAGCTTGTAGTTTGTTAATAAACTTATGGACTTGTTCTGAGCATGAAAAGTTATACATGGAATAGTTAGAATACAATGAAAAAGTAAAATCACATTACTAGACCTCCCCTTGAGTATAATTATATATAACAGCACCTTATAAAAAGTTGTAAAGCATTGGTTTAATATCTAGCTAATCTCGAATTTAGTTTTGTTTTTAAAAAATTATAAAGAAATAAATCGCGATAGTTTGACAAAAAAGTTAACAAAAATGGCGTATTTGACTTTAAAAAATAACCCAAACTTGAGATTAGAGAAAATTTTTGATGATGCTCAGCACAGTGGCGAGTTGCAAATTGTTAACAGGTCCCTGAAGAAATACCCTGAACTGCACAAGAAATATGATTTGGTGGATGTGCTGTCAGTTGGTTAGTGTTTGTAGTTTGTTTATTCTTTGGTAAAAACTTACTTTTTTACTGACTAATTAAGTAGTTAGTGATTGGTTCGATTGGCTGGGCAATTACTGGCTGGAACAATTCCTTGATTTGATTTACTAAGTTACATGATCATTAATTAAAATTAAAGATTAAATTAAATTATCATTATTTTATTTATTTTACTTTATTTATTTGCTAGCTAGAGTAAAGTAATATTAATAATAAAATAGTGTACTTATTTGTCTTTATTTTGTTTTTCAATAAAAATAACCCTACTTAAATTAAATTTGTACTACTAAGTAAATAACACTTATGGCTTTTAAGGCAAAATTAGACTAGACTAAAACAATCAATATATGATGATAATAATTATTTTTCAATGATTAAATAATATAATGAAATTAATTTTTAGACCTGACAAACAATCGGTTCACTGAAATTCCTGAAGAAATATTTAAATTAGGCTCTCTGGAGTCGCTAAATGTATCTAGAAATGTCATCAAGTCCATCGCTAATTCAAGAATTTTCTCCTTGGTCAATCTCACTTATTTGAATCTTAAGTAAGTTTAGTTGGCACATCATATTGATATTGTTGTTATCAGTGGTAGCATTGTTGTTTTTACTGTCATTACTATTTTAACAAATTTTAACCTGACCACACAGTCGAAATCTGCTGACGTATCTACCGCCAGAGATTAGTGAATTAGTGAATTTGGAGGTGCTATTAGTATCCAACAACAGGCTGATCTCACTGCCCGAGGAGATATGCACCTCATTGAAACTCGCCAAATTAGTATGAAAATATTTTCTTGCTGATTTTTGTTTTTTAAAATACGAGATGATGATGGTGGCTATGTTGATGATGATTATGTTTAATTTTTAATGATGATAGTGATGATGGCAGTGGTGTTCATCTTTTCACTTTATTCTTCTTCATACAGGACGCAAGTAGGAACGAACTGACCCATATACCAATTGAATTAGGTCAAATGACATCACTGCACTGTCTTAACTTGAGTCAGAATTCCCTTATTGAAATTCCAGCAAGTTAGTAAACAAAACAAAATATAATAATAATTACGCCATATTTACTATAATAATTATTATTCCATAATTTTTGGCAGGTCTCAGCTCTTTGAATCTGCGATATTTAGATATATCATCAAACCAGATAAACAGTCTTCCAGTTGAATTAGGCCAAATGGAAGGTGTTTTAGAAGAACTGTATGTACATGACAATCCTCTGGTGTCTCCACCTGCTAAAGTTTGTATCTTGTTTTGTATGTTTTTGTCTTTTTTTATATTTTACTGTATGTATTTTGTATACGTGTATATACCAAACATTGAGTAAGGTAGGTGAGAACTTTGTTTGTTTGTATACCTTTGAATTTTGTTGTATTTGTGTTTTGTATGTGTGTTGTAAGATATGCTTGCTTGTGCTCGTTTTCTTATATATCTGTATGTGTATTATAGTTTTTCTTGCATATTTTTGTATGTGGTCTGTTGGTGTATGTATTTGAAATTTGAAATTGTATTTTGAAAATTGTAGGGAGCAAATTATTATTTCCTCCCAATAGCAACATGTATGTATGCATCTGTTTGTTTATTTGTATCAGTTTTGAGACTTGTATTTTTTTGTATGTATACGCACTTGTATCTTGTTTTGTGTTAGTATTTTGTGTACAAAGAATTGTTGCTTAATGTTTTGTACCTACCAACATTACACAGATATGTTCTAGAGGTATGGTGTTCGTGCTGAAGACATTGAACAGAGAGAGGTTGAAAATCGAGAAGAGGAAAAGTTTTATGCAACAAAACAGCAACAACATCAACAACAACATCAACAACAGCATCAACAAGAGCATCAACAACATCAACAACAGCATCAACAACATTCCAGATTTCAGTAATAACGCAGTTAAGATGAGGACACATTCAACTACATCCAAAGATTCGTGCGTTTAGTTTTTGTATTTTGTATTTATACATGGGTGGTATTCAATGTACTTTGTGTATTTTGTATTGTATCCTACTCAAATTCTGAAGCATGTTGTGACCGATTGATTTATAAATGAAAGAATGAATGAGCATGTAATCAAATGAATGAATGAATGAACGAATGAATCAATGAATGAACGAACGAACGAACGAATGAATGAACGAACGAATGAATGAACGAATGAATGAATGAATGGATAATAATTTTTTCCTTCAGCTATAATGAAGTAACAAAGGACTCACTGCATAACAATATTAATTCAACCTCATCTCCATATACACAGAAGGTTGTTTTATGATTTTTAATACAATAACACGACGACGATGATAATAATGGCAGATATGATGATGATGGTGTTTTTAATGGCAGGCATAATGATGATGATGATGGTACCAATAACCAATAGGTAGTAACAAGACACATTAAACAACACTGCAGAATTCAAACCATGCTGCACACATCCCGGTGAAAAGTGGTTTCTCCCAAAGCGAGTTACAACAGCTGAAACTGAATCTAGCGAATAATAACACTAACAACAACAACAATAATAATTTGAATAGTAGTAATAAAAGTACAGTTCAGGGCTTCAACACTGCAAACCTTAGTAGTAGTAGCAAACATGCTACCAATAACATTTCTACTAACAACAACAACAACAACAACAACAACGTTACTAAAAATAACAGTCTAACCCGAAACAACAACAACACTGGCTTCAACAACAACATCAGCAGCAGCAACCACAGCAACCTCTCGTCGCCTGCAGCCACTAATGACCTGCCATCTGCGTGCATTCGAGGTCTGGAGCAGTTGACCTTTGACCTGGAGAACTTGCAGCCTGGTTTCACTGTTAAGAGGAGTTTAATGCATGCCAGGGAGGATAAGCTGGTCGTCGACTCCATGAGGAAGGTGCGTTACTTGGACTGCTGTTTGTTCATTCTTCTATTCGTTTGTCTCCGTCTGTCTGTCTGTCTGCCTGTCTGTCTGTCTATCTATCTATCTATCTATCTATCTATCTATCTATCTATCTATCCATTTATTAATTGATCCAAATGTTTTTTCATCATTCCATTGTCTTTTTTTTTTATTCGTCAGTCAGTCAATCACACAACCAACCAATCAAACCATCAAGTACGCAACTTGTCAATCATCCAATCATTCATTCACACAGTCAATCAATCACACAACCAATCAAAATGTCAACTGACCAACTCGACCAATCATACGAAGGCCCTCGAATCGAAGCTGAAAATAACCCTTCCCCCCGGCTTAGACGGGTGTCTGAAAGATGGCGTCGTCCTCTGCCATTTTGTCAACGAACTATTTCCTGGCACCATTTCACTTGTCTATGTACCAAGAACTGAAAATGTTTGTTCTCTGCTATTATTATTTATTTTTGTTTGTAGTTGTAGTAGTAGTAGTAGTAGTGGTAGTAGTAGTAGTAGTGGTTGTTGTTGTTGTTGTTGTTGTTGTTGTTGTTGTAGTAGTATTTATATTTGTTATTATTTATAATTATTAAAGTTATAAATTTTTTTTATTTGCAGGTTGTTTTATCAGTGGCTAGGTGTAGATCAAATGTTGATTTCTTTATAAACGCTTGCCACAGGCTTGGCCTTGAAAAAGTGTGTTTGTTTGTTTGCTTGTTTGCGTGTTCGTTTGTTTGTTTGATTATTTGATTGTTTCTTTGTTTGTTATTGCCTTCTCTGAATGTTGTTGAGACTGAGTGATTGATTGATTGATTGATTGATCGATTGATTAATTGGTTGATTGATTGATTGATTGATTGATAGATTAATTGGTTGATTAATTGATTGATTTAAAATGATGACGATAACAACAACAACAACAGAGTCGAGTGTGTTCGCTGGCAGATATCTTAGGTGGAAATCTGCCAACAGTAGCTAAGACTGTCTTGTTACTCGTTGAGACACAACAACAACAACAAAATACATCAACAACGACAGCGACGACGACATCAACGTGTTGATACTACTACTACCACTACTACCACTACTACTACTTGATACTACTACTACTACTTGTAGTACTACTAAACGCCGGTACTAGCAATGCTACTACTATGCTTTTAACAGTGCACAACTTTTACGATTGTCATTACTGTTGTTACTAATACTAATACTACTTACAACAAATACTAATAATGCTGATCTGTTTTTTGTGATTATCCATTTATATTTCTGGGTGTGTGTTTTTATGCAGTTTTGTTTTCTCTCTCTCTCTTTCTTTCTTTTTTTCTTTCTCTCTCCTCTTTCTTCTCTCTCTTTCTCTCTCTCTCTCTCTCTCTCTGTTATGTGAGTTTGTATGAGTTTGTGCTGTCCTGTCTACTGTTGTATGTACATACATGAGGAACAATGCATGTATCTATGTATGTATGTGTGTGTATGCGTATATGTATGTTTTGTATACGTATGTATATATTTATGTACTGTGTATATATCTATGTCTGTGTATATATATGTATGTAGGTTTGTGTGTGTGTGTGTGTGTGTGTGTGTGTGTGTGTGTGTGTGTGTGTGTGTGTGTGTGTGTGTGTGTGTGTGTGTGTGTGTGTGTGTGTCTGTCTGTCTATACGTTCTCAATAATCATGATCACATTGTTTTATCAATACCGTTTATTAATGTCATCCAATACAATAATACCTGGATACAATACCATCATTGTTTTTTTTTAATTGTAAATAAAATGTGATCGTCATGCCCTATGCCCTATTTTCCATTTGGTTTTTCGAAAAATTTGTTTTTAATTTTGACATTTTTTAGAAGAAAATTCGCCAAAATTTCGTATTTAGGCTTAGTTTTCTTGTGATTCTTTGTCGTTGTTTCTATTGTTATTTGTTTGTTGTTGGCAATAATTCTATTCAATTTTGCCCTCGAGTCAAAGAAAAGCTTTATAAATGAAAAAATCCTTTTAATTTAAATGATTTATGATTGCTTCATCAATCAATTAATCAATCAATTGACTAATTGGCTCTAATGTTGCTGATACTTATGGACGCTGTCGCCAAATCCATTTTATATGTTCCACAATTATGATGTCATTTCATTAAAGGTGATTCAAATGACTATGATGATGATGACGATTTGCTTATTATTATTATTATGATTATGATTATATTGTTTTTATTATTAATCAATCAATCAACACGGTTCTTTTTAGATACATATGCTTCCATTATAGACTGTGTTCACGAACCAACGATCCACTGTCAAGAAGTTTATATATACATATGTCACATATGTAAATAATTTTTCGTTCTTTTATCGTCTATCTACTCATCACACATCCACACACACACACATCCACACACACACACACATATATATATATATATATATATATATATATATATATATATATATACGTTTTTATATGTCCTATCATTGACGATCTTTGCAATCTTTTAAGCAAACTGCACAAATGTATATTTAACATTTATCATCGCTACTATCATATCTCTAATTGCTTTTATATGCAAAATTTATCTTTATCTATATATATACATATAATGTTCATTACTATATAATATGTATATTTCCATATATACTTTATAATGTATAATATTCTTATAAATATGTTTTTATTATGTTATTTAAAGATTTTAATATTATTTAATAGCATTGCATTTATTTAAAATTAATAATATTAATGATGTATTAGTGATAAGAGAATTTTGATGTGGTTTGTATGCTCTAATCGAGCAAGGTGCGCTCGTAGTAGAGTTTACGGTCAAATCTATATCAGCACATCTCTTTTTTACCTATATGAGGTAAAGTTTAAAAGTTAATTTAATTAAACGTTAACTTAAGGATGTTAAATTTATTATTTTTTATAATAAAATACGGCCCGAAAATCGTATTAGCGAATTATTTCATCCTAATTTATAAATAAATTTTATTTTTTGTAATTTTAGTAATTTGACAGAAAAATAAGCATGATTCTCAATTTATTCACTAATAATTGCATAAATCCCGTTTCGATTCCTATCCTTCCTGAAACGACCGTCCGAAATATCCTTCAGTGTTTCAATAATAATAATAAAAATAATAGTAATAAAAGTAATTATAATAACAATTATGAAATAAGCTATATCGTCGAAGTTGTCAATGGCCGGCCAGGTGATTTTAATTTAATTTAATTAATTTTTAATAATCAAAAATAACTTTATAATTTACTTTATTTATTTACAATGAACGCAATATAGTTAAATAACTTAATAATTAAATTAATACATTAATAGTAATAGTTAATGGTAGCTGTTGTAGTATTTTTATGATTACCCTTGTAATTTTTGTTTCAAATGTCAATCATTCAATCAAACAGAAAAAATACTAGAGCCTGAGCAAAATGTCTACCAAATGTTATTAAATAATAATAATAAGAAGAAGAAAGTTGCGAAAAACAGATCCAACAACAATAATAATAACAATGATAATATGAAATATGTCCTCTATAAATTTAATAGCCACACATATTATGACCAAAAATTATCTACATATGATGACGATGATGATAACAAAAATCTTCATCGACGTTATGATGATGACGACGATGAGAAACACGCTGCACATGTGGCCAATCTGCCAAATGAAGTTCATGTTGTAAGAGTTGATGATGATGATGTTATTGTTATTATTGTTAATATTATTGATGAAATTGATGGTGAAGGTTTCTTGTTGTTGTCACTGATGATGATGTTGATGTTGATTAACTGTGTCGTATGTATTTCTAATTTTTCATTTATTGGTTCATTCATTCATTCATTCATTTTGTATTTTAGAGGAAGCCAACAATGATAGAATTGATGAAATTAATTTCTGAACAGCAAGCATGTTGGCAAGAACAGGAAAACGTTAATTATGAAATAATTTCTTTTGTTCATTCATTCATTTCATTCATTCATTACGTTCAGTCATTCCTTTGTTCGTTCCTTTGTTTGTACATTCGCTCATTCGTTTGTCCATTAATTTGTTCTTCCATTCATTTGCTAACTCATTCATGCGTTCATTCATCGATGATTAATTCGTTTATTAGTTCGTTCATTAGTTCATTTAATTCTAATTCATTTGTTCATCCATTAAATCATTCATTCATTCATTCACACATTCACACATTCATTCATTCACACATTCATTCATTCACACATTCATTCATTCACACATTCATTCATTTATTGTGTTTAGATCATAAGGAAACTTGAAGATAAACTTAGGCAAATGAAGAATGAACACCAACAACGACAGCAGTATGTGATTGCAAACAACATCAACAACAACAACATCAAAAAAGAACTAAAAATTCAATCACTGAGAAGAGAAAGAGTGAAAAATGAAAATTCTTATTCATCTATGTATAGCATCCAATGTCAAGGTTATATTTATTATTATTTTTATCATTTGTATTATTATTATTATTATTATTATTATTATTATTATTATTATTATTATCTTATTACCATTATCTCAGATATAGAGTCTTTGACAAAAGAACTGCAAAGGATCGATGACGGTTTAAATGATGTGCAACAAAGAACCAACTATCTTAATTATGAGATAAATGAATTAGGATTAAGCGCTAGAAAAATGAAAAGTTATGATGATGATAACGATCGCGTTGATGATTATGATGACGCTAATAATATTGACATTAATAATGACAATAATAATAATAATCATTACATTATTAATGCTATTAACGTGCGCACTAGGAGGGATTTGAATGTTTTGAGAAATAAAACCAACAACATCAACAACAATATTAACAACAACAATAACATCAATAACAATGGTTTCAACAACAACATCAATGTCACTAATTTCCACAACATTAGCAACACCAATGACAACAGTTTTAACAACGTCAACGAAAACATCAACAACAAAAATTTCAACAACATCATCAACAAAAACATCAACAACAATAATTTTAACAACAACAACAAAAACATTAGCAACAATAATTTCAACAACAACGACAACAACATCGAAAGATTGAGAAATCGCCTGAACCTAAGACGAGACCGTCGTGACGTCAGTAGGGAAAGATTGCTAATCAGTCAATCGCACAAAATAAAAATTATGAAAAATAATAATAATATTAATAATAACATCAACACCCATCACATTCATGACGTCATCAACAACAACAAGAACGATGACGATGATGTGAATGGCAGAACTAAGAGAGCACTGACAAACAACGACAACAAATCAAACTTGTTGATTCTAGTTACGTCATCGTCATCAACAACAACAACTACTACTAATACGGCAGCAAGTGCTGCTACTGCTACTACCACCATAGCATCAGCAGCATTCACAGCAGCGACAACAGCGGCAAAAGAGCCAGCCACAAACTTTTTGGCAAATCTGGAAAAATCTAGAGCACAAAAGAAGATGAAACAGCAACCACAACACGAACAAATGCAACAACAACAATTACATCAACAACCATCTCAACAACAACAACAACAATTACATCAACAATCATTGCAACAACAACAACAATTACATCAAAAACCATCGCAACAACAGCAACAACAACAGCAACAACAACAACAAAAAGTTGTTCCTAAAAGACGACAGCGTTCCTCATTAACGTTTCAATTGGAAGGCGACATCAACAGCAGCAACAACATCAACAAGAACAAAACGGACGATGATGCTGATGAGAAAATCGCCAACAACAACAACGACATCAATCCTGCTACCAACAACACCAACAACAACGACATTAATCGCAAACAAGTGAACTCATTCTTTTACAAGTTTATCAACAAACGAAATTCAACCAACAACAACAGCAGCAGCAACAATACTGCAACAACAGCGTCAACATCAGCAATTGAACCTCCCGTGATGCCAATACTCAAACTTCAGGCACCTTTTAAATATTTAAATGATGTCGAAGCTAGTAACATCAATCTAATTTCGCCGTCGTCATCTGCCGCAAATTTGAACTTTACCCCTCCTATTCAACTCATTCAACCTTCTCTACTTTCGCCAGCTGGAAATCAAAGTGATGACGTCTTCGTTGTTGATGATGATGTTGCGGAGAAGAATGATGATTGTAGTGATAAGAAAAAGGATGATGATGATGATGATGATGATGATGACGGTCTGAAGCATGATGGTAATGGTGCAAAAAAAGAATATGGTGACAATGTTTGTATTAAGGAAAGCGAAAATAAAACCATCGAAAGTAGCAACAAATTTGACCATGGTTTGACCTCTGATCCTGGTTTGACCTCTGATCCTGGTTTGACCTCTGACCCTGGTTTGACCTCCGATCCTGGTTTGGCCTCGACCTTGCTTGTTGATCCGGCCATTTGCAATCTCCTCGACCAATTAGACGGCTCCATTCTGAGGCACCCCAACCCCAGCGTTCGTTCACTTAGGAAGAGATTATCATCATCGGAGGATAACCATCATCATCATCAACAACAGCATCACAATCATCAGCAGCAGCAACAACAACAAAATGAGGATAATGGTGATGATAATGATGGCGATAACCAACAACATTGTCATCGTCTTCATAATCATTATCAGGTACCAAATGATCGGGATCATTATCAGGAAATTAAGAATGATGACGATGATGATGTCAAATTTGATAATAATCATAATCATATCAATCCAGCCAGTGTAGATTATTCTTCTAATGGTAATGATGATGATGATGATGTGGTAATTAACGAAACCGATGATGACGATGATAATGATGATAATGATGATGGCGATGCTGATTATGATGACGATGGCGTCGGTGTTGATGATGATAATCATGATATAGATTTAAACAATGATGATGATGATGATGCAAAATTGGAAAACCCCAAACAACCAACCAATCATATTTCTGATAAATCTAATGATGACGATGACGATAATGATGTCTATACAAAAGAAATAAGTGATGTTGATGATAATGACGATAATGAAAAAGATGATGATGACGATAATGAAAAAGATGATGATGACGATAATGAAAAGGATGATGATGATGATGATGGGGACGATAACAAAGATTATAAAAACGACAGAAATGGTGATGATGGTGATGACGATGGCGTTAGTTATAACGACGACGCCAAAAATTGCCGTACATTCAACAAAATCACAGACATCCACGAAGAGAAAAGTAATGATAATGATGCTGATGAAAATGATGAAAATGATACTGATGATGATGATACTGATGATGATGATACTGATGATGGTGGTGGTGATAATGGTACTAACGATAATGTCGATGATGATGGAGGGAGCGCCGAAGATAATTTTTCACCTCTTATCGATAGTTTTTTCGATTTTCCGTCAAAAAATGACAACCATAACGTCATCAATGACGTCATCGATGACAACAATAACAACAGCGAAGATTACACTAACAAGAAAGCAGCTACAACAACAACAGCTGCTGCAGCAACGTCAGCAGCTGTAGAAGCAGCAGCAGAAGCATCCCTACCAACAACAACATTTCCCATTACGTCATTGTCTCCAACGACATTTTATCCGATATCCAAAGACCAAACAGCAGCAGCAACAACAATGGCGACAGCAACAATGGCGACAACGACAATGGCGTCAACAACAACATCAACAACAGCATCACCATTCAAAAAAAGCAATCTAAAAAAGCCCAAATCAACGTCATCATCTTCTCCATCATCACTATCAGAAAACAAAACGAACGGTGATGGCAAAGTTCAAACTAAATTTAATGATTTACCTGATTATCTAATTGGGTCGAAGGAGGTAAGTAGGTCAGCCGATGTGGATGAGTCGGATGACGTTTGCAAGTCTGAAAATTATGCAAGTAGGTCAGATTATTTAAAGAGGTCAGGTTACGAACGAATCAGATTCGACCCTCTGGTCATCTTGCTGGACGCTTCTTTGCAGGGCGAACTGGACGTCGTCAAAGATATCGTCGAAAAGGTGGCGGTGATGATGATGGCGATGATGATACTGATGATGATAATTAATGTCAGTGATGCTAAATAATAGAATACCGATCTACTGATTGATTTATTTAACTGTAAATTTTATTACCATCCCATTATCTTCATCATCACCATCGTCACAATCATCATCATCACCAACGTCACAATCATCATCACCAACGTCACAATCATCATCACCAACGTCACAATCATCATCACCAACGTCACAATCATCATCACCATCGTCACAATCATCATCGTCGTCAGTACGGCCACAAGAGAATGGTGAACGACGAAGGCATAACGGCACTGCACAACTCAATATGTGCAGGCCACTTGCATATCGTCCAATACCTCGTCAACAGTGGCTGCGAAGTCAACGCTCCTGATATCGATCTTTGGTTAGTATTGCCATCATCATCATCATCGTTGTCGTCATCGTCACAATCATCACCATCGTCTAAATCGCTATGATCACCATTTTAAATCATCAACAACCATCATCAACATCATCATCAGCAACAACCAAAACAACATCATCAGCAACAACCAAAACAACATCATCATCAGCAGCAACAGCCAAAACATCATCATCAGCAACAACCAAAACATCATCAGCAGCAACAGCCAAAACATCATCATCAGCAACAACAGTCAAAACATCATCATCGTCATCATCACTCGTCAGGACTCCATTGCATTGCGCGGCATCTTGCAACAACTTGAAGGTGTGTCGTCTGCTGGTTGAACATGGCGCCTGCCTATTCGCCACTACAGACTCCGACAAATGTACAGCACTACAAAAATGCGACGACGATGATGATGATGATGACGACGACGATGATGTCGATGGAAAGAAGGTGAAAAGGAGGAGTTACGCAGATAATAAATAACTCTTCAAAGAGTATTTTGATGGTTGGTTAACGTGTTAAAAAGATGATTTTTTCAGCTAATGGTTACTTTTTGTAAGATATAAACACGCACGCATACACACACGCACACATACACATACATGCACAAACACGACAGGCGTAATGAAGAAAATGAAAACCTCGGGTCATGAGCTACGAGCCGCTTTTACATACGAACCAGAAGAAACGGACGAGCTTGCATTTGAAGCCGGTGACAGCATCATCACTATCGATCCTAATCCATCGAAATCCAAAAAGAATGATAGAGATAATGATGATGAAGAGGAAGAAGAGGATGGTGATGACGGTGATGAAAATTGGTGGTTATGTAAAAATTTAAGAACTTCTAAAGTCGGTTTGGTGCCTAGAAACTATTTGTGCCTAGCCTGAGAAAAAGAGAGAGAAAAGAGAGAAAATTTATATATGTATGTGTGTATTTATTTCGCGATATATTGTTTTTCAATATCATTATGTGAAAATGTGACATTATTTTTCAGAAAAATATTTTGCTTTAGTTTATTACTAATCTATATCAAAAAACCATATCAATCAATCAAATCAATCAATCCTTCATTCATTCGCTCAATCATTCATTAGTCATTCATTCACTCATTCAGTTTTTGTGTTAATAAATAGTAAAATAGAATTTTTTTTCATAGTTCTAATTTTAAACGTAAAATATTGACCTGTCTGTAAGAAATAGTTGGCAACAGCTTTTGGTTAGAAAGCTCCCTTCCCACGGAAAGCTAAAACAAACAGGACCCCAAAAAATTAGTAAAAAGTGGTAAGAATAGTAGTCAGTCACCTACCTATCTGTATTGGTTAATTAACTGGTCTTACCTACCCATCAATTTGTATTTCATAAGTTTAGGAATTTTATGTTTTGAGTTTTTCACATGTTTTAATGTTGTATTTTTTGTATAATTTTATTTTGGTTTGAAACTTTTTAAAAGTAAAAAATATTTGCTGTGGTTGTTAGTGATACCCAAATCAAGAACAAATTAAAAAACAAACGTGGGAAATCCCCACTTTTAATCGCAAGACAACTTTGTGTTATCTTGAACCAAATTGCTATTTTTGTTGTTTAGGATTGTGGTCTAGTTTAGTTAGGATGTTGTTTGTTTTTAGTTTGTTTGTCTTTTGAGTTAAGCTTCGTTTTTAGTGGTTGTAACTGTTAAATTTAAAAAATTTTGCGGTAATCAAGTAATTTGTAATCATAATGGTAATCTTCAATAAAATTATACAAAATGTTTTATTAGTAATAAAATAAAAAAAATTAAATAAATAAATTGGTGATTTTGTGCTTTTTTAAAAAAGCTTCTGCTTACTATATCAATTTTCAATTGCACATGACTGATAAGTCTTGAAAAAATTGAAAAATTCAGTTGAATTAATTAAATTTAAAATAAAATAACATAATATGGGTAATTTGTTTGCGAGTAAAAAACATTCTAAGTCTAACGCGTTCGCCGAACGGGATCGAGTTATTCTGGTCAGTTTTTAAAACCCTGACATCTATTTATTTATCTTTATGTTTAGAGATTTTTGTTAATTTAAAATTTATTTTAATTCTCAATAGTGAATCTTTTTACAAATTTGTACAAAATTATTTAGTATTAATTTTTTAATCATCCATCAGCAATTAAAATCTCAAAGAGATCTGTTGGGCAGAAAGATCAAAAAGTATGACAATGATGCAGACAGACTGAAACTACAGGCCAAACAATTAGTTCACGAACAGAAAAAAGAGTTGGCTATCTATTCATTATCTTTTTTATTAAAATAATAATAATCAATTGATAAATTAATAAGTAATTATAATTTTACTTATGTCTGTTTAACATTTGTTGTTCGCTAACACACATTATAATTCCATTTTGAATCAACTATTATAGATAATTAGTTAATTATTAATTATAATCTTTTTATTTATTCCTACTTTGAAGCAAAGCCCTGGTGGCACTGAGGAAGAAAAAATTTCTAGACAACACCATCAGGAATTTAGAAAGGCAGTTAGAAGAAGTGGAAAACTTGGTAATTATTGTTGTTGCTACTTATTATTATTACTCCCAGATTATTATTGTTGTTGCTGTTAATTATTATTCCCAGACCACCCAACTAGAATTCACCCAGATTGAGATGCAAGTTGTGGAGAACTTAAAAATAGGAAACAGTGTACTAACTAAACTACACCAGGCCTGTTATAATTCATTTAAATAATGTTTTACTCATTTGTTTGTCTGTCTTTTCATTCATTCATTCATCTTTTAATTCATCCATTAATCCAATTATTTATTTATTTATTTGGATTAAATTAAAAATAAGTGTATTTTTGAAGAGGATGATTGATAACGATGATTTTCTACTTATAGATAATGTCCATCAATGACGTTGAGAAGATTCTGGAAGATACTAAGGAAGGAATCGCTCATCAAAATGTAATAAATTGGGGCTTGGCTGATTCTTCCTTTAACTCCTTCCGTCTTTCATTCATTCATTGAAAATTTGAATTGGTGATGAATTAATAAGAAGGCATCATTCATTCATTCATCTATTTATTTGTTTCATTTCCTCCAGGAGATTGATGACATCTTATCAAAAGGATTGAATGATGCAGATGAAGAGGAGGTTGAGAAAGAGTTTGATCAGCTGTTCAATGTAAGTTATCACTATTATTATTGTCGTTATAACCTTTATTTTGCGTCTTAATAACTGCTATGCTAATTTTTTTCTAGTGTTAAAATTTCATTTTGAAATGTACCAGATACTACTTTTACATATTTTTATTATTTATTTATTACAGATCAGCACTGAGAATTTGCCAGAACCAGAAGATCATTTTCTCGTTAATGAAGAAATTGCTGATCAACCCACAAAGATCAAAGGTTAAATAATTTATTAGTACTAGTAGTAGCATTGTTAGTAGCCATAGTAGTATTTGTGGTTTTATCAGCAGTAGTATTTTATTTTCAATGGTAGTGGCTGTACTAACAAAAGCAGTATCTCCTCTTATTTCATGTGCTTCAATGATAAGTAACGGTTTCCGTGGTTGATATTATTATAGATCATAATAATTATAAATTATAAAATAATTATTATAAAATAATTTTTTTATTCTATTTAGTACCAACGAAACAGAGAAAGATCGCTCTAGAAGCTTCATGATATGTAATGTATAGAATTTCGTAAATTTCTTCTGTTTTGTTTCAACTAATTTCATGTTTATTATCATTATTTAATTACTTTTTTTTATTTATCGTGTAATTTTTTGGAAAAAATTTATATAACCGTATTTTGTAATGTCACTGTACATTCATTTGAAAAATTATTAGCAAAAAGATCGTGATGTAGTTTTCGTGTCATATCTGACTCTCAAACCTTACCGACTTGCCGACAGCTTATACGAAATTCCCTAATAAACACGCTGTCACAAGTTTAGTTTGTCGTATCAGACGCTAAAACCTTATCGACTTACAAATTGATATATATCCTCATTCACACGCTCAATCATAAACAAAAAAAATATTTCTTAATGAACAACTCTCAAGACTCCAACTCAGTAAATTACATAAACATTTTATAAATAATTTTTCAACTCGGTTAACTACATGAACGTTTTATAAATAATGTTCCTTAATGAACAAGTTCAATTATTATCTAAAGAGTATGAATAAGTTAATAGACTGCTTTCAATCCTTCAAAACTGACTAATTTTATTATTAGTGCTCAAGCAAGCGGTCAGAAACTGAACAGCATGAAAATTAAAGTCGGCAAACACATCGCTACTTTTCACTATTTAAATGGCCAATTTATTAAATAAAACGTATAAAAACAATAAAATTTAAAAAACCTTCTTAATTTCGAGTAAAATATCTTGTAGAAATAATTTTTTTAGATGAAAAACCAACAAATGTTTCTCTGTGTTGCCCGGTCTTTTGAATGTTTGAAAACGCCGACCAATCGCGACAGCAATTTAGCAAGCTACCTATCAGGTAACGCAAGAATCGGAGATGTCCCAAAAATTATTCAAATTTTTTATTAATGTATTGCTAAATTGTAGTTTTTTAAATTACAGAATCGCTTTTTATATTTAAAATGACTTTTTCATGCAATGCACCATGCATTTAAACAATTTCACTTTTATATTGTTTGAAAAAAGTAACTTTTAGCACGAAACAAGGCTTTAATCCGTGGAACCACAATATTTATTACAATTAATAATATTAATTATGATAATTAAATACCAAAAACGTATTTTTATATATACAAATATACAGTATGTTTTATATACATTCCCTATCATAAGTGTTTATAGTTATTCAATATATATAGATATATGTATGTATGTATAATATAAGCATAACCAGCCTAGCCACGTATGTTCATGTATTTTCAATGTTACTAAGAGTAAACTTAGCTTTAAAATATAAATATTTGTTCGGGAAATGAATTTAAAGGGGTTAATTAAATAAATTCATTTTATTCATTAAATTTGTTTAAATTTGACATCGGGCTTTAATAAAATGTTTTGTTTCTTATTAGGATTAGTGTGAAAAAAAGAATTTGGTCTTCTTTTTGTTTAACTTTTTTTAAAATTCATTTAAAAAACTACTCAACCTAAAAAAACATTTATTTAATTTTTAATAATTAATTTTAATAATAAATTTTATTATTATTATTATAAATTTAAATTAAATTTAAATTATTTGTGAATGTAAAAGTAAATAATATTAAATAACTATAAAATATTGCTTCAATTATAATAAATAGATGAGATTTTGATTTTATGTTAAACAATAAATATAAATTAAAAAATAAAAAAAAAGCTTTTAAATTATCATGGCATACTCGGCTGCCATCAGTCAAATGGTTGGGGATAAAAAGTTATTGGACCCCTTGATTGCTGATTTAATTACATTATCCTTTGAATGCAAGAGGAAGTATCAACCAATAAAAGAAGTAAGTAAAATGGGTTGTTTTCTTTTTTTAATCAATATTTTATTTTAATATGTTTAGTTTAGTTTTTAGAAGCAACAATAAGAAGGTTTAAGACAATTTTTATTATTTTAAAATTCATCACTACATGTCTGCTGATAATGATATTATTGATTAACTATATGTATATGTTTGTGTTATTTTATATGACATTATTTATTAATTACTACTATGATGATATAGTTGTTACAGTAACATTACTATTGGGTAATTATGTTGTTTCTGTTAAATTTAAATCATTTTCATGTTTCAAATCTAAAAACAAACCATATTCAATTTTAAATCTCAAAAACATACCTCATTCTATCTATTTGAAATCATAAAAATAATCTACTTTAATAAACTAAATTCTCTAAAACACTTATTTCACTAGATGGCAGAGGCATGCCAGTTGAGAGTTAGAGGCATAGGAGCCAGAAATGAGAATGTTTTAGCTGGCCTCATGTCAGCCAGTACAGAAATCATCCAGCCATTCATCATGGGGTGTGACACAAAAAACCCCAAAGTTGTGCAGATGTCACTAACAGCCATTCAAAGACTCATCTCTCAGAAAGTCGTCAGTGAAGTTAGTTGGTGCCTGGGGGCCAAATTAATTGGGGGGGGCAAAGAAATTAGGGTAAACTCTAATGAACAAGTTAAATTTAAACTATGTATGCATACAAACACAGATATTATTATAAACATCGAGGACTCTACTCCATTTTATGGTTTTTTCTTTTTCCACAAAATAGGAGGCAGCCAAAAGCATTGTGATATCTCTGTGGCTGTTGATGGAGGCGAGAGTTGAAGAATTGAAATTACTGCAGACGGCCATTCTGCTGATAACTACTAATGATGTCGTCAAACATGAAGTTCTTGCTAAAGTAAGGGAAATGTTTTTTTTGTTTCAGTTCTTTGTTCATTGATTTGATTGTTTATTAAATTGTTTGGGGTGTAATGTTAACTATTTTTAATAGTTATATTATATGTTTGTCTTAATTTTAATTTTATTTCATTTTTAAATGGTTTTTCTCTTTTCAAATGCTCTTTTACTACTATAAATGAAGTATTTCAATATTTTAAATATTTTAAAATACTTTCAAACATTTGTTCATTCACAGATTTGTTCATTCACACATTCACTCATTCATTCATTTAGTTTTGATAAACTTTAGGCTCTAGCTCTATGTTTCCGAATGCACTTTGCTAAAGACAGCACGACCACAAACACAGCTGCGGCTACAGTCCGACAGCTTGTGGCTGCTGTCTTCGATCGAGTCGTCATAGAGGACGCTACTCCGTTTCATGGTTGGTTGGTTGGTTGATTGGTTGATTGGTTGGCTTATGCGTTGATATATATGTTGGTTGATGTGTAGGTTGATGTGTTGGTTAGTTTGTTTGTTTGCTTATTGTTGGTTGGCTGGCTGGTTAATTGATTGTTTGATATTACACACGCACACACACAGACTCATGGTCGCACACGTACACGCGCGCACATACACACACGCACATACACAGGCACACTAGAACCTCTCTCATTGGATGAATTGAAGATGGGGTGCAAGCATGCCCCCAAATCCCTCAGGCCCTACGCCTCCGATGCCTTTTTACTCTTTCAGGTTATGATGACGATGATGTTTGTGTCTGCAGTGATGCTGATGATGATGGTGATGTTGATGATGATGATGATTGTATAAATATTAACTTTAAGGACCGTAGAGAAATTGATGTGATAATATAATGTAGTAATTACTGCTAATGAAACTGTTAGACCAGCCAGGCAGGCAGGCTTCAATCTACTTTGTGTCGTCATAAATAATTATTTATTAATCATAATTATTATTATTATCATAATTATTATTATTATCATAATTATTATTATTATAATTATGATTATAATTATTCGCATCAGGACTTCTGCCAGTTATTAAACGCTGATCAACCTTACTGGCTACTTGGAATGACCGAGATGACAAGGGCCCTCTGTCTCGAACTGATGGAGGAAGTTTTAGCCAATTATAAATCCGTCTTCGTCAATGTCTGTCTATATGTTGAATAAATTATGCTAACGTGTTGGGCTGTGTATGCGTGTGAATGATTTTTCATTCATTCATTGATTCAGTCTATTCATCGTATCACTGTGTATCCAACTGCCTATCATTCGTCCATTCATTCATTCATTCATTCATTCATTCATTCATTCATTCATTCATTCATTCATTCATTCATTCATTCATTCATTCATTCATTCATTCATTCATTTATTCATTCATTCATTCATCTATTCATCCATTTATCCATTCATTCATTCATTCATACATTCATTCATTCATTCATTCATTTATTTATCAATCAGTCCATCAATTCATCTCCCAATCAATCGATCCATCCATCCATTCATCAAATTTAGCATCCAGAATTCACCTTTCTCCTTAGTGAGAAAGTTTGCCCGCACGTCATCCGCCTATTTTCTCCGAGTATCAAGTACAAATCGTCGAGAAGTAACAGCGGTAGCAGTGCAGGTGGGTCCATAGGGGGTGGCGGCAGTCCCTCTCATTCGTTAGGGGGGTCTTCAGGGGGCGATAGGCCGTATTTTCCTATTGTTATCAGGCTGCTGAGGATCGTGTCTATGATGATTTTGCATTATTATCCGCTTTTGGTTTGTTTGCATTGCCCATATTATCTGCTATTGATAATTTCATAAATATTATATTACAATTTATAATTATCATGCTGTCATTCATAATTTAATAATTATTATGTTATCATCTGTAATTATTATATTGCAATTCATAATTTTGTTGCTTACTGACGTTCTATGACATCTTCATCGCCATCATCATCGTTGTTATTATTATCACTAATAATTTCATCGTAATAATTATTTATCATCATTTTTTATCACTGTTACCCATTATTATTATTTATAATTATCATAGATAATATTATTATTTATAACTTTTCTTGGCAAAAATGCAGCTGACAGAATGCGAGATATTCCTCTCATTACTCGTAAAATTTCTCGACCCTGAAAAAACTACATGGCAAAGGACAGCTTCGTTAGAAGTCTTGGGTAAACTCTGCCTAAAGCCCGACATTATTAGGTCACTAATTAGCATAATTTATGTTAATATAATTATTTATTTGGGTTAATCATTCGAGTTTGTGATTTTTTGCTATCGTTAAAGTTTAAAAATGCTAGAAAATGTAGAAAAAGTTGTAGATTGGATAAGTTTAAAGCTATCTTTAAAACTGTGAATGTAGAAAAAGAGTATGGAGAGTCCGGTCGGCGTGTTATTTAAGATTACGTGATAATTTTTAGAAATTTCTGCGAATCCTACGACATGAAACCACACGCCACGAAAATCCTTCGAGATATCATCAACGGGGTCGGCGTATTCATCCAATCACAGTTCATGAATCCATCTATGACGCCGCCCATCTCTTCATCCTCAACTGCCATTGGTTAATTTTTAATTTCATTAAACCATTTGATTTATTAAACCATTTATTGAGTAAACCAGAAGCCCGTATACAGAGCTTGTAGGGTTATTTCATTATTACAATTATGCCCCTGCCAATCATATTAATGGCTTTTTGTCTATCCAATTATGTCATTTAATTAGTTTTGATTTAATGTATGCCATTTCACAAATTAATTTTATTTATTCATATTATTTATAATTAACTGGCTTGCTAATTATTTAATTATATCAACCAATTAGGAGCCAAAGGTACAACTACTGAACAAACGGCTAACCAATCGGTGATCATTTCACCTTCTAGCGGCCTATTAGCCCTGCCCTCTCAGATTGTATTCACATATAGGAGCGTTAGCATACCCCTGGTTTTGAATATTAACGCCCCACAAGGAAGCCACAAATCTGTCATGTGCGTCAGAGTTTTGGGGTTTTCGTCCTTTCATTTGTTTATTTTTTTTTGTACTTTCGTTCGTTCGTTAGTTTACTTATTTATTCGTTCGTTCGTTTATTTATTCGTTCGTTCGTTTATTCGTTCGTTCGTTCATTTATTCACTGATCTGTCTTTCATTTATTCGTTCGTTCGTTGATTCATTCATTCATTCATTCTAATTTCACTGACCATCTATATACCGATAGTTTAGAGATGTTGGATAAACAAGACGCTCCCAGTATCCTGGATGGATACGGACTATCCCTCGCCTTCCTATGTATCTTGGATACCGTTAAATCCATCAAATCCATTATCCCATTGTCATTGCAACCACCATCGTCGTCACAGTCATTATCATCAAAGCCAACGTCATCAGCGTCAGTTAATACAGCTACTGCAGCTGCTGCTAATAATAATAATGTTGGTAGTGTTGGCGATCATGTCAGTAATTCATTTTCTAACGATGGCGATGGAGGTGTCAAGCGTGCTAGTGTTGCTGCAGCTGCTAAAGATGAAGAACAGCATGCCGTTGCTGATGATGAAAGTGAGTAAGTCGTCGCGATGGTGATGATGATGATGACGTCAAGAATGATGATGATCATGATGATGAAACATTTTTTCAGTAAAGCGTTTATACGAGGAGCTGATCAACTCAACGTGGTGTGGTGTGCTGTCTGCTTTGCTGTTGTTGTTGGAGGCCAGGTTTGTTGTCGTTGATGTTGTTAGTGGTGGTGTTAATTGTCGTTGTTGTTGTGATTTGAGGATGTTTGTCGTTATGTTGTTGCCGTTTCGGCGACAACATCCCGATAAATCTTCGTTTTATTTTGTTTATTCTTTGTTTTGAACGTTAATACTTTTGTTGTTTGCTTGTTTGTATTTTAATAAAATAGTATAATACAATTCGAACCACCCACCCCCCGACCGAGCAGCACCGACGACCAGACGACTGACATAGTTCTCAAATCCCTGCTAACGTACGCCACCCTCTGTGGTTCAGTGGGGGTCATGACGCCGAGGGACGCCTTCATCACGTCACTCTGTAAGGTTTCCCTCCCACCTCATTATACTCTTCAAGTTTTGGGATGTGGTGGTGGTGGTGGTAGCAGTGGCGGCGTTTCTGTGGCATCTGGTGGCTCCGTTGGAGTTATTAATAACGGTTAGTTTTTGTCGTTGATGATTGTGTTGCTGTTATTTTTCATTGCCACTATCTAAAAACTGAAGGCCAATCAACTCACGGGGAAGCCATTCAAAGCAGTCAAGTGGTTGTTGTTGGCACAGCCCTCTACACCAGCTCAACCAATCAGAATGCTTACCAGGGACCTGTCGTGGTCTGTCATTTGCATAATTTATTCGTGATATATTGACCAGTTTACAATTTTTTCATATTCGTACGCTTATACATAAGCAAAAATATAAATGTACGTTTACTCTCATAGATGAATACACACACATACACGTACACATACAAACACATACGTACACACACACACAGTTAACAGCAAAGAACATACAATGCATGAAAACTCTTCTGAATTTAGCTCAACACCATGGTAGTCTTCTTGGCACCTCTTGGTACCAAGTTCTGACTACATTGCAGGTATCTATGTATTTATTTATTACTATTTTTATTATTCTTTCTTGCTCTTGTTTAATTTGATAAATAGAAAAGTATATGAATAAATAAATTAATGAATGAATTAATTAACGATAATTATACTCTTTATCGCTCTATATTTGACGTAATTTATTATAATGAACAGCACCTGGTCTGGATTTTGGGACTGAAGCCGACCGCCGGTGGCTCGATGAGGCCCTCCCAGCTGGCCTCAGATAACATCAACTCTGTCATCACTACCTCAATTATGAGCGACCTGCCTACGTTAAGCAATCAACTAACTAAACTCTTCGAAAGTTCTCAGTTAGTTCAATGATTGATTGATTGGTTGGTTGATTAGCTGATTGATTGGCTGGTTGGTTGATTGATTGTTTAGTTGGTTGATCGGTCAGTTGGCTAGCTTGTTGATTGGTTTGTTGGTTTTTTTTGTTGGCAAATGTATTAGCTATTAAGAACATTTTTGTATGAATTTATCTTCCGATCACAATTTAACATTAAATTTGCGAACTTATCAGACTGTTCACCGGCCAATTAAAATTTGATATTAATTGAATCATCCAATTAGAATTGGTTATTAATTGAATCATCCAATCAGAATCCTCGATGATGTTTCTCTGCACCACCTGGTCAGCGCCCTTTGCAAACTGTCTTCGGAATCATTGGACATCGGATACACAAATAGAGTATGATGATGATGGTGATGATGATGATGATGATCAACCAGTTGTTTAATCAGTCCTTCAATTTCTCATTCAATCAATCAATTAACCGACCAATCAGGAGCCTTCGTTGTTTGCCGTGGCCAAGTTACTCGAGACGGGATTGGTCAATTTAGAAAGAGTGAGTGTGGTCTGGAATCCAATAACTGGTCATCTTTTAGAGGTTGGTTCATTCATTCGATCTTTCATTCGTTCGATCTTTCATTCATCCACCTATCTTTCATTTCTTCATCATACAATCAATCAATCAATTAATCAATCAACCAATCAACGAACAAATGAATCACTTGACAGGCTTGTCAGCATCCCAATTCAACAATGAGGTCATGGGCTGCCGAGTCTATCACAACGCTCGTTAAATCGGCGTTCACTTTTAAACACAATCCGCCGATACAACAACAGTCAGTGAGTGTCCCCATCAACATCATCATTGATATCATCATTATCATCATCATCATCACCACTGCCATGACTATCATCATCGTCATCATCATCAACAACTTAACCATCACTGCCGATTAGAAGCTGCAGACCAAACTCCTCTCGCCCCTTCACGAACTTTCGAACTGCGTGCACCACCAAGACATCAGGCACAAACAGATGGACTGCCTGCTTCAAGTCGTCCAAAGCAATGGCGAACACCTCTGTGACGATGCCTGGGGCATAATCCTGAAGGTCATAGGTCAAGTGACTTCGTCGGGTCAAAGGTTATTTGGGTCGTTTGTTGTTGTTGTTGTTGTTGTGTGTAGGGTTGGGGTTTGTCGTCGCCGTCTGTTCGTGTTGCGTGCGTGTGGGTTGCCGCAGCGAGGAGTTGCTAATCAGAATATATAATCCTCCAGTAGCGAATCCCTGATCCGTCTGTCCTTTCAAAGTCTCCAGTTGATCGTCACGGATTTCCTGCTGTCGCTCCCCAGTCGCCATCTTGAAACCGTTGTCGACGTGGTGGCCATGTTCGGCACGCAGCAGCAGGAGCTTAATATCAGCTTGACGGCTGTCGGCTTGCTGGTTCGTTGGAGTGCTTGTGTGCGAGATTTGAAATTGAGCTGCATGTCTGCCTCAGAATCATGAGCTTAAAAACTGCCTACAACACCAACACAGTGGAACATCGCCGACCACTTCTCGCAATCACGTGACAAGATCATGCTGGACATGCGCAAACCACGTGACAGATCATCATTATCATCATCTGTAACGACATCATCATCATCACCCTCTGCAACAACAACGACTACTACTACTACTCAGCTCCAGCAAACTTCAAATAAAACAGCAACAACAACAGCAGCGCCCCAGCAACAACTACAACAGCAGTTCGATGACCTCTGGATGACCTTGTATTGCCGTCTGGGTCAGCTGTGTGTTGACCCCAGGCCGGCCGTTCGTAAGAGTTCAGGTTGTTATAACTATTAGAATCATCATATCATTACTTATCATCATAAATATTCGCCCCACATCTTCTTCATCATCTTCAAAATCATCAGCATCTACGTTTTAATAATCATCCTCACCAACACCATCTGTGTCATAGTCATCATCACCATCTAATAATAATAATAATAATCATCCTCACCAACACCATAAGTGTCATAGTCATCATCACCATCTACATAGTCATCATTATCGTCATCATCATCATCGCCACTTAGGTCAAACCCTGTTTTCAATGATTAGCGCCCACGGGGGGTTGCTGCAGTTCAATTCCTGGCACGATATGTTGTGGAAGGTTGGTTCCAACTATCATCATCATTATTATTATTATTATTATTATTGTTATTATTATTATAAGCATCATCATCACCATCTACGCCATCACGATCATCATCATTCTCATGGCAAGGGCAACCAACATTGCAGGTTCTTTTCCCGCTCTTAGAGAACGTTCGAAAGCAGTGCAGTCGTGTCGCAGACTCGAAGGCAGATGTGTCGGGTTCGAAACCCACCTCGGTCTCCAACATTCTCATGCACCACTCGAGAGATACCGCGGAGAAACAGTGGGCCGAGACGAGATTTCTAACGCTGGCTGGTGTCGTCAGGGTGGCTAGTTTGAAGAGGAGTGTCTTGCAGAGGATGGGTCAGTTGTGGTGGTGGTGGTGGCGGTAGTGGTGGTGATGATGATGACGATTGCTATGATGATGATCTGTTGCTATGATGATGATGATCTGTTGATATTTCAACAGAGGACTTCATGAGGGCCTGGTTGATGATGCTGGAGCACATCGAAGATGCAGCCCTATCGAAAAACGCTGAAGTTTCATTGGCTGCCCTCAAGAGCTTTCAAGAACTTCTGAACATCAGTTCCAGTGAAGGGGGTAGCCCTCAACAGCAACCTCAACAACAAACAACTGAAAATAAAGTCAATCAACTTTTTATTGCAGCTAAAACAGCATCTGCTAAAGCTGCTACAGCTGCTACTAGCGAGGCGAACGCAGTAACTTCAACTCAGCCGACAGCAATTAAAAATAATCTCACCACGTCTCTGACTACTACAGCCACTAACAGCAGTAGCGATATAAACGGTGGTGGGTCACTTCCAGATGATGTCAGTGACCAGCTGGCTTTGTGGCTAAGCGCTTGGAAAGTCTGGAGAAATATCGGTTTGGCCTGCACATCCATAACTGTGACGTCATCGTCATCTGGCGCCAAAAGTGACGAGCGAGCCAGTGACAATTGTTATATACCTTCTCAGGTTCGACTTTTTTTTCGTTTCTGTTGGTTTGAATTACAAGGACGCACACGTACAAGCGTTTGTACACACACATATATATATATACACACATTCACACACATTTACACACATATACACCCACGCACATTCACACACACGCACATTCACGCACACACACATGCAGGCTTTCCTGACGGCATTGATACAAACGTTTCCTGGATTATATCAGCACATAAGAGAGCAGTTCGTGACTCCAGAGTTGGACAGGCTGTTGCAGGTCCTCCAGCGATCCCTCTGTGTCCCCGTTCAAAACTCAACCGCCACGTCGTCCTTTTATATCCTATCCATGGACCAACAATCTCTGACCCCGTTGCAAGAGGCTGTCCTTGGTGCTATCAAGCTGATTGGGCAGGTTGTTCTGGTCTCTCTGTGTCCCTCTGTTTGTCTGCTTGCTTGTTTGTTTGCTTGATACATTTAGTTTCTTTGTTTGTTTTTTGTCTATTTTTAAACAAAGACAGCAGTATAGACAGACATCCACAACAACAACAACAACAGCAGCAACAACAACAACAACAGGATGGCTTGAAGAACGAAGGAGCAATGGCGAACATCTACCCTGAGCTCTTCGACAAGATCCTGCAGTTCGTCGAGTACTCTGTGTACACACCTAAGCCTCTGAGATCTGCTGATGACGCTGCTCTTGCTAATCATAATACTAAAGTTTCTACTTCTACTTCTGCTGCTACTGCAATTAGTGGTAGCAGCAGTAGTAGTAGTGGTGGTGGTGGTGGTTATAAAGTCGGTGGTGGAAAAATGGTTTGTTTCAATTCTCACAATTTGTTTATTCAATTGAACGTAGTAGCGATAAATTTAAAAGGTAAACAAACATCAGTAGCAACACTCAGTACGATGCAACAGAGTGCAAATTGCAAATACACAATAGTACAGAGTATCTGATAGTATGAACACCTCAATACAATACACAACTTCAAAATTCACTAGAGCGGGGATTGGCTGACGACGAACTACGTGCCATTCTCAGAGGCCGTCATACAATTGGTGGTCGATATGTATAAGGTTTCAGTCAACAACATGGCTGTCGTGAAGGCTGCTACGTGCCAGAAAATTATCAAGGTTCGCTTCTCTCTCTCTCTCTCTCCTTTTTTTTCTCTCTCTCCTTTCTCTCTCTCTCTCTCTCTCTCTCTCTCTCTCTCTCTCTCTCTCTCTCTCTTTCTCTCACTATCTATCTATCTACATCTGGTTGATATTTAAGGAGTTTCTGTTAAGAATGAAGGTTGGTTGGTGCTGTCAGAAAATTTTTAATGTTAATTTATTTTCGCAGGCACTTAGCTTGCCCTTGTTGAAAAAGTACACTTGTCCTTACAAAAGTACATGGGTACTCGCAATTACGTCACTACTTACAATACTCAAGATTACACTTCCCGTTGCCAGAAAATATGGTTTGTATGTTTGTCTCTCTCTCTCTCTCTCTCTCTCGCTCAATTTTATGAATATGCTGGTATGTATGTGTTTGTTAACGTATTTGCATGTTCGTGTATTTATGTGTATATATCATAGCAAACAAGGCACATTACAATACACAAAATACAATTCTAGAGAAAGATTTTTGTGGTATGTGGAATGAACTTGGGCAAGCTTTTGAGAATTTTCTATTTTCAACTCAGTAAGATTATAAAATTTTACTCAATAGCAATAAAGTAATAATACAACTATAATTTAATTTAATTACGTCATAATTATGATCATAATATTAAAAATAATAACTGTGGCAGTCCCTCACCTTCATCCTTATCTCTCGAAGATTTTCGGAAAGATGAACAGCTTGATTGTCATGTCGGTAGTTCTGTGCTGTGCCTTCATATCGTATCGTATCGTTTTGTATTTTATTGTATCGTATCGTATCGTTTTGTATTTTGTTGTATCGTATCGTATCGTTTTGTATTTTGTAGTACTGCAATGTATTATGCTGTATTGTATTGTAATTGTGTTGTAATGTATTGTATCGTAATGCCTTTCATTTCATTATGTCTTAAAGTGCTGTATTTTTTTGTATTGTATTGTATCGAATTGTATTTTTCCAGGTCGTCGAAACGATACGAGACGAGGTACTGCCCCACTCATCCAAACTACCAACGACCTTCATCTCGAAGATCATGTCCATCTTGAACAGAGGCTCCATACATACTGCCACTACCGAAAGTTTTCTCGGTCGGTTGCTGATTGGTTGGGTGGCCGTCAGCCTGATTGGTTGATTGATTGTGATTGGTTGGTTGATTCAATGGCTGATTGGTTGGTTGAAGTTTGATTGAGGTTTGATGGTTGCTAATAAACTATCACCAACATAAGAAATAGATTCAACCAATCGCCTGCGAGAAGAATTCGCCAAAGTTTGCTTCGAAACCTTACTCCAATTCTCATTCGTCCAACGAAATGACGCGCTCCTCTCCCCTCAGAAGTCCAGCCAATCACAGCAGACTTCTAAAAATAGCAGCCAGCCAAACAGCTTGAAATCAGGTCAGGAAGAAAATGGGGTCATAACGAGTTTAGCCATCGAGGCCTTACTTCACAGATGTAAGAATGTTTTAGAAAAGTACAATGATGATGCTAAACTTTCTGGGAATTTCCCGCTACCGAGGTCTGTATCATCATCGGCAGCACCACCATCATCATCATTATTATTATTATTACTATTATTATTATTATTATTATTATTATCACCCACACAGGCCACAGATGACAGAGGTGTCGTTCGTCTTGCAAGCCATAGCTACGCTGCTCGTTACGCTGAAGAAGAATCCAACAATCGTCAGTTAGTATCGACGATGATGACGTAATAATCACGTATTAATGACGTCATTACCCATATGGGTAATCATCACCATCATCTTAATCTCTACAACAACAACAACAATAATAATAATAATAATAATAACGGTTGTAATCATCACTTCTGTGTAATCACTTTTATCATCCTTTTTTATATTTAACCAGGTGATAAACTCTGGATTGAAACAATAGCCTTATACCCACATCTGATAGACTGTGCTACGTCATCGTCGTCATCTTCATCATCGTCGTCGTCATCATTTAACATCAGTAAATCCTTGCATTACGCTCTGATGCAATATAAAGATCTACTGAGACCGCCCCATAACTTGTAACACCCCTGACTTGAAATGGTATCATCCGGCTAATTAGTAATATTCATGAGGGGTGAAATATGTTAATTAGGATAGAGGCAAACTACTACTGATTATGTTAATTAGCCAGCTAGAAGAAAATATTATCTTATTTATCGTTATAACCTTATTGTAATTAATAAAATGTATGCTTTTCATTACGTATTTGTTTATAAAAAAAATTTTACTCTATTAACTTGGCTGATTGATTGATTGATTAATTAATTAATTAGTTAATTGATTAATAGATCGATTGATCGATAGATTTGTTGAGATATTTTGAGAACATTGAAAAATTTTCATTCGTCTGCACTGATTCATCCATACATACATGCACTAGGTACTTAATTTATGCTCGTGCAATCAATCACTCATCCATCCATCCATTCATTCATTCATTCATTCAAGAATATACTTAAGCATTCTTCCCTTTATTTATTCACTCATTCATTTTTATATTATTTATTAGTTTTTTAAGAAATATTTATACTGATTTAATTAAAAAAAATATCATAGACACGAGAATACATAGTACAGTTTTTTCATTCGCTAACTAAATCAATTTTCCAGTACTTAATTATTATTATTATTATTTATTATTATTAATTATTATTACTATTATTATTTTCACAACTGATGCTACTAACTTCCATAAATGACATTGAATCAGGATTTGTTCAATGTAAAATACACTCTTATTCGATATAAAAATGAAACACACACACACACACACACACACATATATATATATATATATATATATATTATTTCATTATATATATATATATATATATAATGAATTGCCTAACTAATTATCTGGCTATTGTTATGAAGATCAAATGAAAATAACTGTTGAGAATATATATACAGAACAAAAATAAACTCAATTATTTTGTGTTGTGTCTGTTTATGTGTGCGTGCGTGTGTGTAAAATGTGTTATTAATTAAAGCAATATATGTTACAAAGATGAAACGAATATCTAGATTTAAAAAAAAACTGAACTCAACAACATAGCAAATGAATCATCATAAATCGGTCATGTAAAAAAAAATATATCTTTGTGTGTGTGTTTGTGTTTTTGTGTATGTGTGTGTGTTTTTTTGTATGTATGTGTGTGTGTGTGTGTGTAAGTATATATAAACAATTAGGTAAGTAATTAGTAAGTAAGCTTTTTTAGTAGAAATACTGAGATATATTTAGATACGCCAACGTGTATATATTAAAAATAGTTGCGCGCATGGATACAATACAAAGCATACAAACATACATACATATATTTATATATATACAAACAAACAAACAGGCATACTTTTAAAGATACAATGAGGAATACCTTTAACGCTGAGAATTGCGGATGTATGCACTTGAAAAAATAATTAAAATGAATATGTATGTGTATATACATATATATATTTACAATATTCTATAAATTCTACCGATATGCACACACACACATAAACACACCCACACAGACACAACACAAAATTCGGTAGAATGTATAGAATATTGTAAAAATTATGGTCTATTACCAACATGTATATATATATATATATATATATGTGTGTGTGTGGTGTGTGTCTTCGTTTGTAGTTATTCACGCATGTCTATTTTTCCCAACATTTACTTCGTTGGCTTTTTGATTTAAGATATTATAAGATATAAACGTGTATATATATATATATATATATATATATATATATATATATATATCACAAATCAAATACATACAAAGCAGAAATTAAACATAAACACACATACATATATACACATATGTGTAAAGAAATACGTTTAACACTAGAAATATGAACACAAACTTTGTTGGAAATACACAGACAGACATACAGACAGACAGACATACATGCACACGTCTATACATGCTTACTTCCATCCAAACATACTTGCAGACAAACACATTCGCATAAGCAATCAGACATTTGAATACACAGGTAGAAAGATAGAGAGAAAGCAAGAAAGAGTTAGAGAGATATAAAGAGAAATAAAGAAAGGAGAGAGAGCGAGAGAGAGAGGGAGAGAGGAATAAACAGTTAGGAGAAATTTTTATTAATCAGTAAAATTTTAGTATTTTGTTGGCAGTGCTAGTAATTTGAGGACCAACTTTTGTAACCATGGCTGCATGATGCTGCTGCTGCTGAAGTTGCTGCTGCTGCTGTTTGGTGATGTGTGGCTTTGGAGGTGTCGGTGGCGGAGGCATACGCGATGATGATGACGACGATGACGATGATGAGTTTGTTGGTAGTAGCCCGGCTGATTTTACACGCGCGGATGATGATGATGAAGTTATTGAAGATGATGATGGAGATGCTGGCGGTGAGTATAAGTGTGATGATTGTGATGTTGATGCTGAGGGCAATGATGATAATGATGATGGTGACAGTGTGGACGATGACGACGACGAAGAAGATGATGATGAAGATACAGAGGAAATAGTTCCTACATAGTTACTAACGCTCATCTTATCAGCTTCAGTACCTATATTATTATTATTATTATTATTATTATTATTATTATTATTATTATTACTACTACTACTACTACTATTACTAAAATTAGTAAATTTAAAATTGGAATGGTTGGATGAGCAAAATTTATGTGCTGACGGCTGCGATGATGATGATGATGACGACGATGGTTTTGATGATGGTGGTGGTGGTGAAAATATCGGTGATAACGATAATGATGGTATTAGTATCGGTGATGATGATAATGATGTAAATATTGATGATGATGATGACGTCTTTTTGGGCGTTTTTGGCGCTATTACTGAACCGTTATCGTTGCGAACGTTGATGACGTCATGTTCATGATAATGATGATGATGATGATGACGGCCTTTATTATTATTATTATTGTTGTTGTTGTTGTTGTTGTTGTTTATTACATCATTGTTACGATGCTGTTGTTGTTGTTGCTTGGTGATGAAATCATCGTCAAAAGTCAGCAAGGTACTTTGTATAGAGTTAATTATTGATTGTATATCTGATTTGGTTGTTGCTGCTGCCGTTGTTGCTGCTACTGCTACTGCTGCTGCGGTTGTCGTTATAATGTTGCTATTAGAAAATAGTGGTTGTGGTTTCCTCAAGACCATCGAAGGAGGGAATAATAAGGATGACGACGATGATGACGTCACAGGTTCACTATGTTTCTTTGCCGCGAATGTCACTGAGGATGTTGTCGCGGATGTCAATTTTGTCGCTGACGCTGTCGTCGCTGCTGAAGCTAAATGTGACGTCATCGATGTTGTGACCCTGGCAGGCTTGCAGACACTTGTGGCTATGGTCGTCGCTAAAGTTGTTGATACTGATTGTGATGATATTAGCGTCATTTTCGCTGATGCCTTCATATCCTCAATCCTTAATAACAGATTCTTATTTGAATCTTCGACCCTGGCGACCCTACTCTCCAAGTCACTACATTCTCTATCTATTGAATTTAACTGCAGCCTAAATGAGTCCACGATCTTCTTAACGGCTATGCTTATTTCTAGCTTTTTACTATCCAGATTAACTTTTAATCGTCCTAATTTGTTTCTGGCGTTGATTAGGGAGTTCTCCCTGAGTGAGATCGTTTCACATTGCTGGCAGAACTGCTCACTTATTTCATTCCTTCGTCTTATCAATCTCTCTAGCACCGATACGACTTTTTGCTGATGCTGATCTACTTTGGATGACGACGACGACGACGACGATGATGTTGTTGATATTGTTGTTGATGATGAGGTTGATGATGATGATGAGGATGATGATGATGTGGTTATTGATGTTAATTTCGATGATGATAATGATGACGTTGTTGATGTGGATGACGATGACGACGATGACGATGGTGGTAATGATGATGATTGTTGTGGGGCCAGTGAGTTTATTTCCTTTTGAAGACTCTTCTGTTTCCTACTTGCTTCTTCAATCTGTAAATTGATGATGATAAATAATAATAGTAATAATAACAATAACAATATTATAATAATAATTATAACAATAATAATATTAACCTTTTCTTGTAGCGATGAATTTTCCTCATGGAGTTTTAGTATAGTACAGGCCGAACCAAGCAAATTCTCTTTGAAATTCATCTTCTCAGATTCAACAATCTCGCTTGCCTTTGTTCAATTTTTAATTTTATTAAATTTTAATAAACATGCACATATACAAACATACAAACAAATAGCATACATACAAACAAACATATGTACATACATACATACATACAAACTAACCTCATTATATTTCATAAGAGCCCAATTTAAATATTCTTTATATCTCAAATATGAGCTCTTTTGGTTCATTATTAAGCCTTCCAACTGGCTCAATGGATCAGAATGATAAGAAATATTATTATTATTATTATTATTGATGTTATTATTGATGTTATTATTGATGTTATTATTGTTATTATTTGTTGTGATGATGATGCCATTATTTAGCACTCTTTTCTCATCATCAGAGCCAAACTGACCATATTTGGCTTGCATGAGATGATTGGCTGATTTTTCCTTCTGTAAATAAATAAAACAATACTACTACTGACAACAAAAATATCATAACAACAACGTCAATAATAATGATAATAATAATAACAATAAACAACATAAATAATAAGCACCTGTAGCTCAGCAATAGTCACATCACTAGTTTGCAGTTCATTCTCTAAGTAGGCCAGCAACACTAATAATTCACTAGTGTTCAATTGGAAATCATTGCCAAATAAAAGTTTGTGGCTGTTGTGGATGTGGTGGTTGTGGGCATGGTGATGGTGGTGATGATGACAATTTCTACTATTGTCCATTTGTTACTACTTTTCTGCCTCCCTTGTATTTCTCTATCTAGCTTAATATTTGAACATTTGAAAAAAGCATTTTTATGTCAAAAAAACCAGTAGGTAAAATAACAAACTTTAAAAAATAAAACTTAATATAAAATTAAACACAAATATAATTATAATTAATATTAAATATATAAAATTATAAATTAATTTTTTGTTTTCTAACAACATTAAAAATTAAAAAGGACGTGAGATTCCTGAAACGTTTGTCTTAGTGGCATAATTCATTCAGTTCTAGTTATTATCCCAATTACACAGTTGTCCTAATTTTGAGGTGATTTTAGTCAGGACTTTTAATCAGGAATAAAACTGAACGAAAAACAAAAATAAATTTCAATCTCAAACATCATTTAGGGTCTGACTATTCGCCTTGTTTGAATTGTTTGCCAGGGCTGGCTTACTAGAATCGAACTATAGTCACACTGTTCTTACTTATTCGGTTTAATTTTTTTTATGAAATAAACAGCGTAAATAGATCAAAATTGTTATCTATTATGTTTATTATATATTTTAAATTCTAGTACTCAAAAGAAATTGGTTACTGAGATCATACGCTGGCTTACTGCAGTGGCTCATACGGTGATACTCGAATTATAGAATTATGGAATTTATAGAATAAACCAAACAGAAGAGTTCAATTCATATGTTTTATTTCATTTAAACTCATTTTAAAATACAAAAAACTGTAAAAAATTAATATGTACAGAATAATTTAGGATTGAACAAATTAGAATAATAAAACGAAAAAAATGTAAATATGATAAAAATAAACTTAGAGATAACAAACTAAATATAGATATATATATATATATATATATATATATATATATATATATATATATATAAAGATTTAAATAAATAAATAAACAAATTTAATTCTAATTGGCATGATTTTAACTATATTTGATTCATAATATTTTGGTGAACTACACAAAAATATGAGAAAAAAAATCAAATTATACTAAATCAAACAGAACAAATGCGCACACACACACACACACACACACACATATATATATACCCTTAATTAAATAAGTTCTAGAAACA